CAATCGATGAATCAATCGTTGTCGATTACCATCGGCAATCAACAACTCACAACTTTTTTTTTGTTCATCGGTTTTTTATCGATGGCTATCGCCAATCGAATCAATCTTCGATTGATATCGATTATTGTTATATGGCTCTGTCTCACAAGGACTGCGAACCACCAAATTCACGAATTTGATTGACTGAAATCGACATTGAAAGCCGTCTTGATTTTCCCATCTACACCGACATCTAGACCGGTAATATTTTGCAGTGAAAAAGTTACAAACTAAAATGCAAAATCATTGACTATTTCCATCCAACAATATTTATTTATGAAAGTGCCAAAAAGCCTGCTGAGAAGGAAAAGAAATTGGTAGAATTAAATTTAGCTCATCGCCGTTCGCAAGCAAAATGTCAGTTAGCACAAACCTGTTACGTTAAACGCCGAATTAAATTGTTCTTGTTTGCCGTATAATATACATCTTATAAACTGAGCTTAGTCGGTCTGTATGGGAAAATCTTGACCTCGGTCAGACCTCACTGCGTTCGGTCTGTACTCACGACCTCGGTCAAGATTCTCCCATACAGACCTCCTGCTTGGTTAATAAGAGCTAATTATCGATAAAAATCGATTATCAGTTTATCGATTGACGACGCCTGGCAATTTTTTTTTTCTATTTTATTTTTACGATTTCCATTTTTTTTTTCTCCAAGGTGTTACCAGCTGGCGTCATGGGAGTTATTTTGGTCAACAAATCAAGTCCCTCCTCGACTTTGGTAAGGCAGAAATGGAAAATTCCAATTTACCTTCATACATAAAGCGGGACAAATATTTTATTCACTTAAATATCTCGAAATATCGCTCTTTTCTCGTGATACAAAAACGACACGTTTTTCTGGCAACAATTAATTATATTTTGATAAAATAAGAGCAGAGCTGGAACGCCAAGCGGAGCACCATAACTATAGGAACAGAACCACAAGCATGCATAGACAATTCTTTTTTCATGGTTAACATGGCTAGTGGCGTGGATCGCTGATGCCTGCGCCCTACGATAAATAGGACGACGTCGCGCCACATGGCGGCCATACTCCAGCCACTAGAAGGTGGACCGAGGCATGCTGCCTCGATATCGGATAATTTTGATATTGAACATCCATGTTATGGTCAATTGACACCTGTCAAAACAAAGCATCCGCTGACCAGTGCCACATGAGCATTTCGCGGGCTCGGATTTAGAGCTATTCAAGGTCACATATTTTTTTTTGAAGTTCACCGCTGCGCAAGTACTGGTTTTCGATTGTATCGAACGCTCAAGCCACGTTAACTTATTGTAGTCAGGAGCTCCGCTTTTAGCTTGAGCTAAATCTATATATTATTGTTTCCTTGTACGTGAGGTTTACTCTGAAGCCGCTTCGATTTTGATTCATTTCAGATTAACGCCGTGAGCTCTGTGAGCATGACGAGCGCCATAGTATCAGGCATAACAGTGTATGAATATAAATGGGCTGTGGGCAGAGTACTGGTCGCTAACCTGGTTGCTACGATTACGACGGAATGGGACGACGTTCACTTTGCCGACAAGGACGCAGCTCTTAAACTCACCGACCAGGAAAATACTGCGGTAGCAATAAGCTCCTTGATTGCGATATTTTCCACCATTGAGGTTGCCCTCGCCCTTTGTGCTGCTTGGATCAGTGATTCTCTCTACCAGCCTCCCCAAGAGAATCAAATCAGTCAGGTATGTGAAGTACTTTATCTTTTGGAGACAAGAAATAACTTTCATACCATGGCATAAAAACTTCAGCCA